TGAGTGAGAACATGTGATACTCAGTTGTTTCTGTAATAGATCACTTAGTATTATAGCCTCTATGTCCATTCAAGTTGCTGTGAAGTTCATAATTTTGTCCTTCTTTATGGCTGTGTAATATTCCATCATGTATATGTTCCACATTTTTAAAATCCAGTGAGAAAGAGAGAGTCTAAAGCTGTTGATTTTACTATTAATAGCTATGGGGAATTAATTATACTTCTTTAAACTGACATTTTACTGTCAGACACTTATCAGCCAAACTATTAAACTGCATGAGATTCCTATTGATTCAAGACATACAAGTGATCCTACCTAAGGCAATCTACAGATTCAATGCAATACCTATTAAATTACCATCACCATTCTTCTCAGACCTAGAAACGACAATACGGAAATGGAAACATAAGCAACTACAGATAAACAAAATAATCCTCAGTAAAAGAAACAAAGTGGGAGGTATCACACTTCCAGACTTTAATCTTTATTATAAGGCTACAATAATCAAAATAGCCTGGTATTCGAACAAGAACAGGCATATAGACTAATGGACCAGGATAGAGACTCCGGAAGCAAAACCTTAATTTCTCAACCAAGTCATCTTCAACAAAGCCTCCATCAACAACCACTAGAAAGAGGAGAATGTATTCAGTAAATGGTGCTGGGAAAACTGGTGGACCACATGCAGAAGAATGAAACAGGATTCCCATCTATCACCATACATAATAATCAACTCTAAATGAATCAAAGACCTAAACGTAAAACCTCAAACTATAAGAATCTTAGAAAATGCAGGAGACACCCTTTTGGAAATTGGAATGGGCAACCAATTCCTGATCAAAACCCCAAAAGTCCATCCATGCCATAAGAGATAAGATTGACAAGTGAAGCCAGGCTCAGTGGATCAGCCTGCAATCACGAGCCTTTGGGAGGCTGAGGTGAGTGGGTTGCCTGAGCCCGCGGGGTTTGAGACCCACCTGGGCAGGCGAGACCTCATCTCTACAATAAATAAAAAAATTAGCCAGGCATGGTACCACACGCCTGTAGATCCAGCTACTTGGAAGGCTGAGGCAGAAGGATCGCCGGAGCCCAGCAGGTCGAGGCTGTGGTGGCCAGGAGCGGCCACTGCACTCCAGTCTGGGTGACAGAGTGAGACTCCAACTCAAAAAAAAAAAAAAGAGAAGATTGACAAGTGGGACCTCATCAAACTGAAAATCTTCTGCAAAGCAAAAGAAACCATTAAGAGAGTGGGGAGACAGCCCACAGAATGGGAATAAATATTTGCCAACTGTATACCTGACAAAGGCCTAACATCCAAGATCTACAAAGAACTCAAACATACCAAAAGGAAAAAAAAAACCAAAACAGCCCCTTTAGAAAGTGGGCAAAAGACATGAACAGCTATTTCTCAAACTAAGACATACAGACAACAGACACATTAAAAAATGCTCAGTCTCACTAATCATCAGAGAAATGCAAATCAAAACCACATTGAGATACCACCTAACTCTAGTCGGGGTGGTCATTATTACTAAAAAAAAAACAAAACAAAACAGATGTTGGCAAGTATGAAAAGAAAAGGGAATACTTGTACACTGTTGGTGGTGGGTGTGCAAACTAGTTCATCCTCTTTGTAACAGTGTGACAATTCCTAAAAGAATTAGAAATTGACCTTCCATATGACCCAGCAATCCCCCTTCTAGGAATATACCTGGATGAACTCAAGTTATTCTACAAAAAAGATACTTGTGCACTCATGTTTATTGCAGCACTATTCACAATAGCAAAAACATGGGACTAAACGTGCTACCCATTGAAAGTAGACTGGATTTTTTTAAATGTGGTAACAAAAATAACTAAATAAAGTATACTCACAGTAAAAAAAAAAAATGTGGTACATACACATTGTGCAGTATTACGCAGCCATAAAGAAGGACAAAATTATAGACTTCGCAGCAACTAGGATGGATTTAGAGTCTATCATACTCAGTGATCTATCACAGAAACAAAGAACTGAGTACCACATGTTCTCACTCATAAGTGGACTCTGAACACCTATCATAATACTACAAAGAAGGGATTGGCAGTAGTGGGACACTGCCAGGGGAACAGAGGTGAGGGGGCACACAACATTAATAAGGGTGCATGATCCCAATTCAGGAGAAGTGAGACCCAATGGGAGGCCCCAACTTCACCGTGTGTGACCACTTATGTACCCAATCCTGCCTTGTACCCCACATCTTTAAAATAAAAAAAGAAATTTTTAAAAAGACATGTGAGTGTTATAATATTGTGACCCAATCTCTAATTTTATAGGTGAAGTGACTGAGGTCAGGCAGATTATACAACATATTCAAGATCACCATACACTGAAAACACCCAAGACAGAGCAGATATACCAATTCCAGAGGTGCTGTCCCCAACTTCCAGTGTGTTCAATTATATTACGCAGCCCTCTGAATTCACATCTGTGGGACAGTGATTTAGCCAGGCTAGAATATATGAGTTATTCTACATTAATGAATTTTCCAGATTCCTGTAGCTTAACTATTTAAATACTAAAACTTTAAAGTTTTGGTAGAAACCTTCCTAAAGTGAAAAAGCACAATTCAAGATTCTATTGTGTTCCAGTGAAATGGCTTATTCTTAATTCTTTGCTTAATTATCAAGTCATGTGCATTATGATACTTTCCTGTTATGCTACTTGTCTTGTGTTTTGTTTTCATTTTGTCTGTCTGTCTGTTTGTTTGTTTGTTTGTTTGTTTGTTTTAGAGATGGGGTATTACTATATTGTCCAAGCTGGATTCCAACTCCTGGGCTCAAGTGACCCTCCCACCTCAGTCTCCTGAGTATCTGGGATTACAGGTGCAAACTATGACACCTGGCTTATCTATCTTGTGTCAGTTTTGGATCCCTCAGTAAACTTCCCATCTTACTGTTTTCATTCAATACCAACTTTATTGTGGGGAGAACAAGGAAAAGAGAAAAACAACATGATGGAGTCAGTGGATACAGATGAAGTTAAAATGGCAGAGAAAAAAATGATTTATTTTCCAGACTTCTAAAACATCAAGTCACAGTACTGTATTAGAGTCAACTTAGTTGCACAGTCCTTTGACCTCCTCATTAAAAGGCCCAGGTTTCTATACTTTTTTTTAGCTTCTGCTATCATTTCTTACTGCTATGTTTTATTATTACCAACAAATTCTCCTATCTCCAATATCCTGTTCAGTTTATTTAAGCTTATTTTTTAAAAGGCAAATATATATTAAAGAAACTCCAGATGAAGATTTGAGGCATTCTCCTATTACCAGATATATCAGCATGGACTCTAACTTAGCTCTGCAGGGTCATTGTTTTTGTTTGCTTCTGAGCTATTGATAGTTCTGGTTTCTGGGTGAGTGACCTCCGGAAAAGTCTGTAAAATTTCTGAGATCCTGTATTTGTCTTTAAATCTATTCTATGTAAATTCATATTAAAAAATCCTTAAAGTATCTGACCAAAAGCAAACCTCTGACACTAAGCCAGTGTTCTCAAACTTTAATAAACATGTATATTACCAAGAAATCTTGTGGAAAATGAAGGTTCTGATCCAGTAGGTCTGGGTTGGGCCCAAGATTCTGATTTCTAATTCACCTAACAGGTGATGCATAGTCTGCTGGCCCCACAGGCTACATGTTTAGTAGCAAGGATCTAGAACACATACCTCTTTTCTTTTCTCTCCTATTTCTAAATTATCTCATTCCTTTGCTTTTCCCTTTTGTTGTACTAGTCTTTTCTTAAGTCTGTAGTAACCACAGTAACTACTTAGTCCTGTAGCTACATAGCCTTTGTACCTATGAAAGTCCCTCAATCTATATATAACATAAAGTATAAAAATCACAGTGCAGAAGGGTCAAAACGCCACAGTAGTCAAAAACCTTTTCTAAATGTGGCCAAAATAATATACTCTATATAGATGACATGGTTTTTAGGATGTGTTGTTATTTTGGTATATTTCTTAGCAATTAACTATTTTCCTTAGGAAATGGTTCAAAAAAAGCTTATGACATTAAGTTTCTTAATAGGAAGTCAGAACCTTTAGTCATGTTAAGATTCAGTAACATTCCAATGAACTGAACTGCTAATTATGAACAAAATGATGACACGTGTACTAATCTTTATAACCTAATATTACATCTTTTTTTAGTCTACTCTATAATTATAAGAAAATCTGCTACCAAGGTTACCTAACCCTTAAGAGATCACCTTTCTAATGAACTAATTGGAACTATATACGCCTTATAATCTTACACAAATTTCATTTATAGTTTGTCTTATACTAGATTCTTTTTAGTGGCTCATAACACTCACAGGAATTGTTAGATTTAGAATGAGCCTTTTAATATAAAAAATGTTAGCATTCATATGGTAACAGAAATATTATTCTTACAAGAAGACTCTAAGATCTTACTGAACCTGATCAACAAGTAGTAGTCTCAGTTTACAGTGGGGAAACCTGAAGCATATCCAGGTTATACAACCAAGTGAACACAATGCAAACAAGAATATGACACTCCTAACTGTAAAGTCCATCTTCTAGTCATTATACACTATAGATCAAACATTATTAAACTTCCTTTTAAGTACAGGAGTTGATTTTTTAAAATCAAAATTATGCTAAATAGCTGGTTTCTCAGTAACACTCAGAACTATGGTTTCTATGTAATAGTGGTCTCTTGCCAATACAGTGAGCTACAGTGCAAGTGGAATCCAATTCTCTGGTGTCATTTTCTCACAAGGAAATTGAAGCAGATAATTCCACTCCATCAAACCAGACAACAGTGCATTCTAGTGGTCAAAGAAGAAGTAATCAGAAATGTCTTTGGGACTCTAGACGCAAACCTAACCATCAAAATTATAGCAGCTAAGGAAAAAATGCACAAACATTATGTCAATTGTTGTAGACTTAAAGAAAATGTGTATCCAAAATTTAAATTAAGCTGTATTTTAAAAATTACCCAAAAGTTCCAGTCACCACTCCAATTATGCGAATTTGGTCCCTGTTTCCTAGCTGACACGGTATTATTCTCATCCACAGTTGGGTTGGGATTTTCCTCGACCTCCTCCTGTAACTCAGTGGCAAGGCTTGAATCCCCTTCTTTTACTGCCTGGAAACAAATATCAAACCATTTAAACTACTTATTGAGAAATGGCAATTTTTAAAAGAGGAGCGTTAATGTTCAAAACACACACATTAATGTTAAAAGGACAATATTTAAATGTTTAGAAGACATCTATGTTTTTGCTTCTATAGTTTATACATTTATACATGCAACAAAGGCTTTCCAACTACTACTATTTGCTAGGTAGTTTCGTTGTCATTAGGGATACAAAGATGTACACAACAAAATCCTAGTCTCCAGAAGTTTAGTCTGCCAGAGGAACAATTAAATAGTAAAAATACAATGTAGCCGGGCTCAGTGGCTCAGCCTGTAATACCGCACCTTTGGGAGGCTGAGGTGAGTGGATTGCCTGAGCCCGCCGGTTCGAGACCCGTCTGGGCAGCGAGACCTCATCTCTACAATAAATCAAAAAATCAGCCGGGCATGGTAGCACGCGCCTGTAATTCCAGCTACTTGGAAGGCTGAGGCGGAAGGATCGCCGGAGCCCAGCAGGTCGAGGCTGCGGTGGCCGGGAGCGGCCACTGCACTCCAGTCTGGGTGACCGAGTGAGACTCCAACTCAAAAAAAAAAAAACAATGTAATGGGGGTATCAGTTGGTACAACCACTTTGAACAATGTGCAATGTCCAGTGGGGTCTTAGATGTACATATACCACAATGCAGCAATTTAACGTACACATGGAGTCAAGAATGTTAGTAATACTAAGAAAGTGGAAATAACTTCACTGTCCACCAATAGAGAAATAGTAAATAAGCTCTGATTTATACATACAATGGAGTTTAAATGAGTGATTGAGATGTCTTGAACAGGTATTGGCCCCCAATCTAAAGAGCACTCAGGGCAATGATTATACTCTGGCAAGATATGGGACCATGTGGTGGTTGCTCATGAAGAAGCAGTCATTGGGGAGTTAAAAGAAAGAAACAGAAGAAAATAAGGAGCTGGGGGTTGGTGGGCAGGTATTGAAAAGCAGCCATTATGAGAGTACATGGCTCACAGGATCCTGAAATAACTCTGCTGCTGCTCCCACCAATAACTCTTTTGCAACAAAGACCCTGGTCCTCAGGGTTGTAAGGAAAAGCACCTGTGGCACCACTGTGGCAAAAAGCAAAAGGGTAAGTCAAACCCCACTCAAGCTTTAGGTTCTTAAACCCTTCAAGTAACCATTGCCATGGGGAAAGCCATAATCATGATGATAGCTATTTGAGGCTCTCTGGAGAAGAAATTTGTAAATATGAAAGGGTTGAGAGGGCCCCCTCCACCTGAAGTGTATCTAGTAACCTCCAAAAAGAGGGGAGAAAGAAACAAAGAAACCTAGATGGGGGGGAGACAAATGAACAATAACAACAACAAAACTGAAACGGGAGACCGTAATAGTTGGACATACAAAATTTATTAAAACAATCTATATAACAAAAGAGAAAGACTGGCTTTTTTGCTTCTATAACATAGGTTCTGAAGGCCAGGCGGGGTGGCTCACATCTATAATCCCAGCACTTTGGGAGGCTGAGGTGAGAGAATTGCCTGAGCCCATGGGTTCAAGACCAGCCAGGGCAACTTGGCAAGGCCTCATCTCTATAATCTAAAAATTAGCCGGGCGTGGTGGTGCACACCTATAGTCCCAGTTACTTGGAAGGCTAAGGTGGAGGGATTGCCTGAGCCCAGCAGGTCACAACTGTGGTGGCCGTGAACATGCCACTGCACTCCAGCCTGAGTGACAGCGTGAGACTCCAATTCAAAAAAATAAAAAATAAAAAAAATAACCACAGGTTCTGAATTTACTTCAACATGTGCAAAAATGTAGCAACTGGAAAAATCTTCATGGCTTTAATCAATACTGGGGCTCAAATTAGTTATACCTGGAGATCCCTACATTTAAACATGGTATCCCCTAAAATACTAGTGGAGTTACTCAACATGAAGCAGACAAGTAGGCATGCCTCACCTTAATCAACAGAACTACTGCTTTGCCTAAATTCTCCATGGTCATGGTATATGTTGCCATAAAATATCCCACAGTGGCTATGGATACCCTGATCCAATGAGTAATTAATTAAAATCAAGTCATCAGAGCTTACAAATTGGCTTTCAAAAAAAGGGGACCCCATGGACCACCAACCTCAACCCCTAGTTAAAATAATACAATCCAATGTAAAATAAAACAGGTCCTCCAAGGACTGAAACTTATTATGTAAGACCTACTTAGTGAAAGAGTGATTATCCCTACTGCTTCTCCATTTAACAGCCCAATTTGGCCTGTTAAACTTGGAAAGAATGAATGGCGCATCATAGTGGATACTGCATCCTTGATGTAGTATCCTTCTTACCCATGAAGGCCCCTATCCCCAACACACTATTGAAATTACTATCCAGCCAGGCGCAGTGGCTCACCCTGTAATCCTGTGCTTTGGGAGGCTGAGGTGAGTGAATTGCCTGAGCCCGCGGGTTCAAGACCCACCTGGGCAAGACCTCATCTCTACAATGAATCAAAAAATTAGCTGGGTGTGGTAGCGCGCGCTTGTAGTTCCAGCTACTTGGAAGGCTGAGGCGAAAAGGATTGCCAGAGCCCAGCAGGTCGAGGCTGCGGTGGCCGGCAGTGGCCACTGCACTCCAGTCTAGGTGACAGAGTGAGAATCCAACTCGAAAAGAAAAGAAATTACTATCCAATCCACAACTAGTAAACAATGTGCCATTATAGATTTGGCTACTATGCTCTGTTCAGTGCCTCCTTCAACAAGCTCTTCGCCTCCAGACAGACACAATCTACACCTAGCTAACCACAGAGTACCTTTCAGACAAGATCTTAACTACAACCAATTTTCTCCAGGAGCACAGTTGTGACATTACACCAATGACATCCTCCTCCGAGGACAGGCTTTTGACATACTCAAAAGGAGCTCTCAAAAGAGGGATGGTCCACTGTCATATACATAGTGTATGGCCTGCCACCTTGGTTAAATTTCTGAAAATTATTTGGTAAACCAAGGACCACTCCATCCCTGGCACTATCAAGAAACAGCCAGCTATTGATCCTCTTAGCACCAACAACATTACAACAAGTCCAATACCTTTTATCCCTTTTTAAATTCTAGAGACAAAATAATCCTCATTTACAAATTTTACTTAAGCCCATTTACGCTGTGACTATCCTGAATGCAACCCCTTTAAAGGTTCTAGAATTTGTGAAAATACAACAGATACTCTCATTAGTACTATCCCCTAGCTCATCCCCAAAACACAGATACACACACACACAGAGCTTCACTGCAGAGACTTTAGTAACTATTCTCATAACTCATGAGCCTCTGGGCCACCCATAATGTCCATAAATTGTCCATAGGCTTCTGATGCAAGAAAATTCTCAGCCCCACAGCATCTGCCATTACAGCAGGAATTGGTAGCAGCACTCTGGGCTTCCCTGGAAATAGAAGCTCTGACAAGTCCTGAGCCCATGACCCTCTAGACCCAGCTGCCCATCACACCCCAAGTCATGGAAACAGCACCCTGCAAGCTCAGCACAGTCAACAAGGCCTCCTTACTAGCGGACAGAGCCAAATCTGGGCCTTCTGTCACATGCCATATGTAGGAAGGCATGGTCTCCCTTGTCCTCATTGCCTAGGCTGATGCCATGGTGCTGGAGGCCACGCCCTCTTGGACGCTTTGTCAACTTGGGAGCAACTGGGGTTCAACTGAGCAAACAGCAACAGGAGTTTGTATACTTTACAGACAGCCTCACCATTATTATACATGATGGAGCTCATTGTAGACCTGTTGCTTTTCATTCCTTCACCAGGATGTCCCTGATAAAGGACAAGACCCAAGAGACAACACAACTGGCTAAACTTCAGGATGTCACCTTAACACTGAATGCTCTGGTCAACAACTGGCTCCATCTGCACATTTTTACAGATTCTTGTGACTCTCCCTGAGAGTTGTCCCCTGTAGGGTAAAGAACTCTGGGACTTTCTTGTTTCACAATACACAAAATAGAAATCAAGGTCACACACGTCTCTACATATGCTAAAGCCATAATACAAGGCCTCACCAAGATACCCCTATCCCCTTCAGGGCTCCAGACATTACTGATAGTGACCATTTATTTCTCAAAATACATTTCATTCCTCAAAATACAACTCTGGGCTTTCGATCAAGGCTTTCAGTAGAACATTCACCTTCCTTCCTGGTTTTAGGCGATAGGCCACACAGAGAGCCTTAAGGCTTACTTAAGTTCAAATTCAATTCAAGGAAGATGGTACATTTCAGATATGGGTCAAACATTTTTTTTAAGCCTCACCCCTCCCTCTTCCTCATCTGCCTCTCATCTGTACAAGCTAAGAAAGTCTGAGTGCTCTTTCCTTTGTGGTAGGTGAGAGATTCAAACCAAGCAGACCCCTGTCCACGCACAGGAACCCTCACTCCGGCCCTACTCTCTAACCACAGTAAAATCCTGGAGCCAGTCTCCTTTGCTTGCTCTTTTAAGCCATTTTGGTGCTGCTTGAGAGGCCCACCCTACTCTCCCCAGAGACTTCAATTATGTAAGTAAAAGACATTTTCCTCATGGTGTATGAGTGGCATCATCAGTTTCTACCCCTGAAACAAATTTGGGGTGAGGGGCCCATTCTGGCTTTCTAGGGTGTCTATAACAGATTCCTATCTCTTTGCAGAGTTAATCTCTCTAAATCTGTTTCCTTAACTCTACAGTAGAGGAAATAATTCTCTCTGGTCTCGGCAATAAGCTTTTTGAGAGCAGAAATCACGTCTGTGTTACTCACCATCTTATCCCAAACACCCAATGCCAGGAACAAAGTTGAATCAATGACTGTTGGGTTCATGAATATCTCCCTTGATCATTTCGTGGCGATGTTCTGAGAATCCGTTGAAATAATACATTCATTCATGTACTCATTCAACAGTCATTGGCGTGCCTCAACAGATCCATAAACTATTAAATGCTCTTCAAAAGAAGTGAATGCAGTTCTCAAAAAGTAAAACACACACACACACACAACCGGTGCAAAAGGACAGTGTTCAGAAACGCAAACACCCTTGCGACCAAAGCAGGCTGTCACCCTGAACACTAACAAACAAGTTTTTCCATTTTGTCAATGCGGGCAGGAAACAAATAGCAAAGCAGGATGACACCCCAAACTTGACTGACAGGACAGTGATTTCAACCACCCGGGCCCTTGTGTCAGGGCACAAGTCGAAAGCAAGGGGGTGAGGCTGGAAGAACGTGACACCGGGTCAGAATCACGGCCGCGGAGCCTGACTCCAAGGACCTGAGGCTGGGACACCTGGCCCTGGGACATCAAACCAGGACACTTCGGGACCCAAGTCGAGCCCTCGACGCCCCGGGCCCGCCCCCCCCCCCCCCCCCATCTCCTGCGTAACAACTTTCCAAACACTCCAAAGCGCGCCGAGAAAAGAGAACGGAAGAACGAACCGTCACCTGAGAAGGTTCGGGCAACCAGCGTGCGGAAAACCCCGGGGTAAAGCCACCGCTTGGGAACGTGCCCCAGCGAAGGCCGCTTACCTGACGGACGGTCAAGGCGCCCTCCATCGCGGCCGCCGACCGCGCACGCGCGTCCCCGCGCGCCCCACGGCTGGGAGGGGGCGTCCCGGCGCGCGCGCTCCGGACCCCCGGCCCCGCGCGCCTCTCCCGCCGGCCCTCCGGGCACCTCCCGCCCGGGCGCTTGGCGCCCTCTGGCGGTGATGGAGTGCCGTTGCCTCTGGCGAACTCCTACAGGTGGCTGTTAACATTGGTGAGCCTGGGGAGGCTGATCTTGATCAGGGGGTCAGGAGGAGCCTGACCTAGTGCCCAACCTACAAGCCTGTGCCTGCCCTGCAACGGTCTACCCTGCCCCAGTGTGCGAAGCAGTGAATTGAGCGGGAAACTCTTGTTCCTTCAAATCAGGGATTAAAGCGCCAGATACAGAGCTGCTGGAGAATTGCAGATCCTTGGCTCCCAGCCATATTCTAGAACAACTGAGGAAGATTGAATATGAAGGGTTTGTCTACTAGAGTTGATGTTAGGGAGTGATCAATGAGGTATGGATACGCTTATGCGTATTCTTTTATAGATAATTAATAATTTGCGGTTATGTTGCAGGATGTCTTTATTATTAGAAAACTTGTGCTGATTTAGGAGTGAAGTATGATGTCTGCAACTCGCTTTCAAAGGCTTCAACAGAGATGAATGATGGGAGAACAAAACAGCAAAACTAACAATTATCGCATCTACATGGAGGCTCTAACACTGTTCAGCGATTCTTTTACTGTTTCTGTATGTTTAGGAATCGTAATGTAAAGTTGAAGAGAAGGAAAAGCTTATTTCCGTTCCACAAAAAGTCAGATGTTGAGTATATTTTAAACATATATATTACAAACTAAAGTGCCTAATCAGATTATCAATAAAGAACAGATTTCTATCCTTGTCCTTCAAAACTGCATAAACTGTGTTCTGTTGGACATAAAAGAATTATCAGAACACCAGTATTAAACAAGACCACTCTGTGATCATGACAGTATAAGACAAAAACAAGGCCACTGTGTAATCATGTCTAAACACAGACAAAAACACGGATGTGGTTCACACCACAAAAATGACTCTCCCTATACTGCCTAGTATGACTGTCTGCTATTTCTTTCCCAATCACAGCTTTAGCTTCACTTTATTCCACCCACCTTCTAGATAAGATTTATTAAGATTCCCATCATAGAATTACCACAACCTCTTGATTTTTTTTTTCTTACTTTTTTTCCTAATCTCCAATGTGCTAGTCTACCACAGCTTCTTGATAATGTCTCATCAAGGACAAAGCTCCACGTCTGAAATCCTCCTGCTAGAATCGCTGAACACAAAATCAAATACTGTATTAAATCCTTTCTAACACCCTCACTGAGATGTCCTCATGGACCTCCATGGTCTGTTTTCACACTCATTGCGCTGAGTCAATAAACCCAATGTTCAACTCCAGGTATTTTTCCTGCTGATCTTTGGCTGAAGAGCATTGATATTTTTCAGTGAAGTAGAACATAAGGTGAAAGTGAACATAGAGGAAAAGTTACTGGATATTTGAAGAAATAATCATGAAATACTTAGAAGCACAGGAAAATGAACTGACTAATATATGAAACAGGATTGCTGGGCAATACAAATGCCTAATTGAGATTAATGGTCATGTATTTGAATTAAGATTACACGAATACAGAGGGTGCCAACAAACAGTATAAACATTTTAAGAAAGGAAAAAACTGTATTAAAATTGTAATACTCAATATACACCGATAACAAAAGATGAATACAAATCACATTTGACTTCTGCAGTTACAAGAGGTGCTCAAATTGGTTACCGTAAGTGTCCAGACACTTCTGGTTACAGCAACTACTGCAGGACTTGTTTCTGTGCAAGGCCTCCCGGATCTTCCCTTGTGCACATCACACATAGTACCATGCATCTCAAACTTATCACGAATACATGCAATTGTTAGGAGGTGTGTTGGAGGTTCTGCTGCATACTTATGCCTCCCTTGTCATTGTGCTTCCACAATGTTCTCGAATTTCAAATACCACTTCAAAATGGTCTTGCGCTCCTCAAATGACAACCGTGCTTCCACCATTTTCTTTGACTGCCTGTTGCATGATGACATTAATTTGATTGACACCATCTTTTGAGTGAATGTCATACTACACGTTGCTACCATAATTCAGTTCAACTTTGAATAGTAATACATAGATAACATCGCTTAAGATGTGTATACATTTTGTTGGCACCCCGGTAGATAAAGGGTACTTTGAAACTTTGGAAGAATCATAGTCAAGTTAAAAATTGTTAAAGTTTACATCAGAAAGTTTACAGAAAAAGAAATATAAAAATATCCTCAATTTCACTTGGACTAAAATAAATAAAAGATTAAAACCACACTTAAATACTATTTTTCACCTGTCACCTAAGCTTGACAATGCATTCTGTTGACAAGACCATGGGGATACAGGAACTCTCATGGTAAAAGTGTAAAATGATATACCAAATTTGGCAATTACTATAAAAATTATAAATTGTATATACTATCGCAGCAATACCAACTTCTGGGATTTTTCCTATAGATTTAATTGCACATATGCAAAATAATGTGCAAAGTTATTCATCAACAAATAGTTTGAGTCAGTAAAAGTTAGAAACAAATAATCATTCATAGAGGACTGGTTAAATAAGCTATGTACTGAGGACTAAACTCTGACCTTTTTTCTTTATTTGCCAAGTTTCTTTTTTTTTTTTTTTT